TAATGTTGTAGTGCTTGTTTAATAAACTGCTGAATTATATTTGCTAATATTTTAATTAAGTTTTTGTTTATAATTGAGGTCTCTAATTTTGCTTGTTGGCAATTTTGTTTTTCTTATACTGTATATGTCTAGTTTGTTATATAAGTTATATTCACAATATAAAACAAATTGGGTAGCTTTTTTTTTCCAAATTGAATACAATTTTATAGGATTAAGATTTTCTTGAAAGAATATTTATTAAGGCATTACTAAAACCTTTTGGGAAAATAATAAATAATCAACTGGTCCTGGAATGTTTTGAAGTAGGATTTTTTTATTACTGATTTCAATTTTAATAATGGTTATTAATTTATAGAATTTTTCTTGAGTCATTTTAAAACTATATTTCTAGAAAGTAACTTCAGAAAATTTTAGGAAGTACATCTTGGCCTTCAAGATTTTTAGAATAAAATTGTTATAATAGTCTCCTATTGTAACTATAGGTATTTGTTTTTCATTCAAGTCAAAGATTATTTGTTTGTGAGTTTTCTTTAGTTCTTGATCACTATTGCCAAAGATTATCTCTGTTGCGTCGGAAATGTTTCAATGCCACCTCTCACATTGAATCAGTTTGCTGTTTTACCATGAATACTACAGGTGGTTACTAGGTAATACATTTTTCAAAAGGAATTATGGGGTCAAATATTTCAGTGTTTAATATTAATTATCAAAAGGAGAGTTTTGTGGGTAATATTTCCCATTGATATGGTTTGGCTGTGTCCCCACCCAAACCTCATCTTGAATTGTAACTCCCATAATTCCCACATGTCATGGTAGGGACCTAGTGGGAGGTAATTTAATTATGGGGATGGTTACCTGCATGCTGTTCTCATGATAGTGAGTGAGTTCTCATGAGATCTAATGGTTTTATAAGCATCTGGCATTTCCCCTTCTGGCACTTCTACTTGCTGCCACCATGTGAAGAAAGACATGTTTGCTTCCTCTTCCTCCATGATTGTAAGTTTCCTGAGGCCTCCCCAGCCATGCTGAAATGTGAGTCAATTAAACCTCTTTCCTTTATAAATTACCAGTTTCAGGTATGTCTTTATTAGCTGCATGAGTACAGACTAATAACCCACACATATTTCATGATGGAAAATGTTACTTTAAAGACCATTTTATGTGGCTAGCATTCCATAGAAACACTGGGAAAATCTTGTTTTGTCTAAATCATTTTATAAATGAGTAAACTCATGTAGACTCCAAGAAGTCAAATCCTTTGATTAAGGCCATCATACTGTATCTCTCCTTCACTAATGCACTGGGCTCACATAAATGAGTGAATCAATGCAACATTCAGAATTGGAGAAACAGATAATTAACTGGTATTTTCTTACTCTTTATAAAATATTAAGAAAAAATCATTGTCAAAATTCAGCTCTTTAAAAGTACTGGATTACAATAATTTAGATGAGAAGAAACTTTATAATTTAACATGACCTAGAAATGACAAAATTAACTCCACTTATTATTTATAAGGAGAGATTCTTAATACTGGAATGGGGAAGGATAGTCCCTGAATTATATTTGTCTTATCACTTATCACCCTGCATCATTACTAGAGTGTCATCATTTCTATTAATAAGACATCATATTATAGATGTGTTGAGACCAAAAAATATTGATTACAATCACAGATATTAATGAAACAAGAATAATGGAGGAGATAATATGCAAAATAGAATGTACAATAATAATAAAAAAGACTCCTAATATTGAGTCGAAATATACCATTTTATGTACATCATTGTATGTATTAAATTAACATTTTAAAAATCCACGTTTCTGATGAAATCTGCACAAGGATGCCAAACAATAAATAACTTGCTAAAAGACTAATAGACCACCTATTTAGAGACATAGTATAGAAAGATATCCAGTAAAATAGTCTACATAATCAGCAAGAAAATGAGAGTACTTTATGTAAAATGCAATAGCTTCCTCTGTTTCTGTAGAAAACCTGTGTGGAAGTAATGTTTGGTCTTATATCTTTCTTTGTTCCTGCTTCAGACTCCACCAGGCCTGCTTTTATTTCCAAGATTTTTATATCAAATAAGAATATCGTTACCCATCAACATCCATGTTAGAAATGGCTTGTTTCTATACAAAAAGTTTGAAAGAAGATTAAAATTATTATTCTATTTGAAACACAGCTCTGGCACTTCCAGAGAGACCATCATAATATAGGTGATATAACGAATACCAGCAAAATGGGAAATGAGCAGAAAAAGTTATTACCACAAGTAACATGTTTCAGCAAAGGTGTTGAGATGTTCTTGGAAAAGAGCCTTTACTCTTGTCACCTTTGGAACTAGTCCAACTGCCAGAAGCCTACAGTCATAGAAATAAAACCACTCAGAAAAGAGTAGACATGTTCTATTTGGTATTTAGATATCAAAGACCATTATTACCAAACCAAAACTGGCCTGCACAATCTGATAAATATAAATGAACTCAGGGCCCTACATTAAAATATTTGAAGCTGAAACCAACATGAAGAAGCAAGTATCTTTAAATACTCTGGCTAAAGTATAGCTTTATTGAGTTCTATTTCCTTTATTTGCTTAGTTCTGAACTTTTAACTGATTCACTATCGTTGATTTAATTGGTGAGCCCTTTAGTGAAGTGTCTTTCTTTTAACAGCCTATAAAGTACTTCGCAAACTTACATAAGGAAAAAATTATACCTTCATGTCCTGTGGGAGGTTAAACTGAGGGCCATTTTGCAGTATGTCCTAAGTGCCCCCTCCTCCACTCTGTGGCTAATTAATGAAAACAGTCTTCTTGGGGGGTATTGCCAAATAAATACCAGACAAACTTGAGAGAAACCATAAATAGTTATTGGACAATGTTAACTTAACAACATGGACACAATGAAGATCCATCTGTTCCAGAGTGATAATAGTTGAAAACATCAACATAAAAAAGTACAGTAGGATACTGTATGGGGTCATTGTTTCTTTTATTTAGTAATTTATTTTATTTTTCTTAATTATACTTTAAGTTCTGGGATACATGTGTAGAACATCCAGGTTTGTTACATAGGTATACACGTGCCTTGGTGGTTTGCTGAACCCATCAACCCGTCATCTACATTAGGTATTTCTCCTAATGCAATCCCTCCCCTAACCCCTCACCCCCTGACAGGCCCCGTTGTGTGATGTTCCCCTCCCTGGATCCATGTGTTCTCATTTTTCCAACTTCCACTTGTGAGTGAGAACAGGCGGTATTTGGTTTTCTGTTCCTGTGTTAGTTTGCTGAGAATGATGGTTTCCAGCTTCATCCATGTCCCTGCAAAGGACATGAACTTATCCTTTTTTATGGCTGCATAGTATTCCATGCTGTATATGTAACACGTTTTCTTTATCTAGTCTATCATTGATAGGCATTTGGGTTGGTTCCAAGTCTTTGTTATTGTGAATAGTGCGCAATAAACATACGTGTGCATGTTTCTTTATAGTAGAATGATTTATAATCCTTTGGGTATATACCTAGTAATGGGATTGCTGGGTTAGATGGTATTCCTAGTTCTAGATCCTTGAGAAATTGCCACATTGTCTTCCACAATGGTTGAACTAACCATTGCTTTTCTTTTCATTTTTGAATTTAAAAAATTGAATTATAAGAATGTAAGAAGAGTAAGAATAACATTATCATCTAGAAATAAGTTAAAATTTTACTTCTATGTACTTCTAGTCTTTTTAAAGAAAGCACTATGAATGCAATGAAAATACATTTACTACTTTCTTCTCAACTCCTACCTCCCAGTCAGCATTGCTTTTCTCTCGCTCTTTTTACTGGCTGCTTCTATTAAACGCTGAGGGACACAGGATGGAGTGTGTATGGGAAAGCTTTCTCTGGTGGGTTAATAATGAAAGACATTTTATAAGAGTTGAGTTGAAGAATGGATGTGAAAAGAGAAGAGATGCAGGTGGTCGGATTTGGAGTTAGGTACCTGAAAGAGGAGTGAGCCTTTCTACAAATGAAGCAGGTTTTCCTTTGCTTCCTTTTATGCTTTCCTATTTTTATGTTATCATTCCCCAAGGCTCTAAGCCACGCATGTGCTTCTTTAAATAAATCTCACAAGATAAAAGCCAGTGCCTCAAAATCACCAGGCATTGATGCCTGTCTGTAAAATATAATCACACACTAATCATGGAGTATAGATTTGCTTTCTTCCCTAAGGCAAGACGTTCCCTGGCACCTGTGGAGGTGAGCCCCAGCATGAATGATCTGTTTTTGACAGTCTTTTCATACATGAAAGCTCATGGACAAGTCACCTAGGCACACAATTTAACAATCCCAACTAGCATTTGTGTTTGCTGTGAAATGGTACATCCAGAAGACCAGGAGGTCGTCTTCTTCAGCCACGCCCATCTGTTGCTGCCCTGAAAAGTCTAACTTGGCCGTCGCATTTAATATTGCTGGCTGGCTACATGTGTGGATTTAAGTTAAAATTAATTAAGATTAAAAATCCAGTTTCTCAAGCACACAAGTGACATTTCAAGTGCTCAGTAGTCGTACATGACTAGAAGCTACCACACTGGACAATTCTCAACAGATACAGAACATTTCTATGATTGCAGAAAACTCTATTGGGCAGTGTGGGTTCAGGATGCAATAGCTTGTGACATTATTTTCCACGTGATTAAAAGTCCCTCACATGCATAGTTCTCCTTGAAGATTGGTGGATTAGGGTGAAAACTATCTTTGTAAACTTTGGGGCTTTCTTCCTTCCCAATTGCTTCCCCATTGCTTATGGCCAAGCAAAAAATGTGGGTGACAGTAAGGAAAATACTATTGTTTTTTGCGCTAAATGTATCTGACACTCTTACTTACCTGAGAAAAGAAATGTAAAAAAAAAAAAAAACTGGCACAATACTTGGCACATAGTAGGCTCTGAACAAGGTTAGCACCTGTATCTAGCAGGGCCCAGGAAGGTGACAGAATCCACACCAATTATAAGGACACAGATAATTTAATATAAATAACTGTTAACAAGCCGTACAGTTGTTCAGTCAAATAACTAAGGTATCATGAAAACAGCAACTACAGGAAGTAGTTTCTATTCTTAGGATTGGACAAACAATGACAGAGATTGGAATCATTAATCTTAGAAACTCAGAGGAAGGTCCGTGCGTAGCTGAAACTCAGACCTCTGAGGAAGAGGTTCTCTTCTGTTGAGACTGGTGTCTCTTGCAAGCATTAGAGAAACTGCAAGTCAAATTCAGCTGCTGCAATGGGGAGGAACTGCTGCAGCCATTGTGAAGAAGCATTGCTAGGGTTATGCTCACAGGAAGCTGGGAAGAGATAAGACCACAGTGAATAAATGGAAAGGGGACAGTCTATTCCAGCTTTGCAGGCCTTCTCCTATACCCTCTAACGGCAGAGCCTAACCAGGGAACAGGTAGTACAGCTGAAATGATGTTTGCAAATTCCCAGCCCCAGGACTAAAAAATCTAGTATAGAAAGTTGGGCTTGAAGCTGAGAGATAATAACCTGAGGACAGGCACAGGCCGTATAAACTCTTGAAATATTTTCCTTGGCTAAAGGTGGAACTTCTATTCTTTTCACATATCCATCTCAGTCTATTATTTCCTTATTTCAAGCTGCTGTTAATGATGATTAAAACCTACTTATCACAGACTAACATACAAAAATCAGTTGTATTTCCATATGTATGCAATGAGTATTTGCATTTACAGTCCATTTACAATAGTATTAAAAACAATAAAACACTTAGGATTAAATTTAACCAAGAAAGTACAAGATTTTTATACTGAAAAATTACAACACAATGTTGAAATTAAAAAAAATTTAATAAATGAAAGACATCTGTGATCATGGGTTATTAGACTTAATACTGTTCAGATGGGTATATTGCCAAAGCAATATATAGATTCAGTAAAATCTTTATCAAAATTCGAACAGCCTTTCTTTTTTTTTCAGAAATAGACAAGCTGATCCTGAAATTCATATTGAATTGCATGGAACCCCATATAGCTAAAAGAATCTTGAAAGAAAAGAACAAAGTGAAAGTATGAATACACTTTCTGATTTCAGCACTTACTACAAATCTATAAATAATTAAAGCTGTGTGGTACTGGAACAACAATATAGACATATGGATTATTGGAATAGAACAAAAAGTCCAGAAATAACCCATATAGTTGGATCCCATAGAAAAGCTGCACAGCATCATTAGTTATTATAAAAATGCAAATCAAAACCACAATGAAATACCTCTTCAAATTTAGTTGATGGTTATAATTAAGAAAAAAAACATGAAAAATAACATGTGTTGGCGAGTATGTGGAGAAATTTTAATCCTCACATTTTGCTGGTAGGAATGTAAAATGGTGCAGCAGCTGTGAAAAACAGTTTGGCAGTTTCTCAAAAAGTTAAACATAGAAGTATCATATGAACCAGCAATTTCATACCTAGGTATATGTCCAAGAGAAATGAAAATATATATTCACACCAAAATTTGGATATGAATATTCATGGCACATTATTCTTCATAGCTGGAAGGGAGAAACAGCCCAATTATACATCAACTGATGGATAAACAAAATGTGGTATATTCGTAAAATGAAATATTATTCAGCCCTGAAAAGGAATGAAGTACTGATGCATGCTACAAAGTGAGAGAAGCCAGAGAAAAGGTAATATATTATATAATTGTATTTATGCAAGATGTCCAGAATAGGCAAACACATAAAGACAAAAAGTAGGTTAGTAATTGTCAGGGGCTAGTTGGAGGGGGATAATATGGAATGACTCCTGAATAGATACAGGGTTTCTCTTTGGTGTGATACAAATTTTCTGGAATTAGTGCTGATAATTACATAACATTGTGAATATCTTAACCACTGAATTGTACACTTTATTTACTTTTTTAGACAAAGTTTCTCTGTCACCCAGGCTAGAGTGCAATGGTGCCATCTCGGCTTACTGCCACCTCCACCTCCCAAGCTCAAGCAATCCTCTCACTTCAGCCTCACCAGTAGCTTGGACTACAGGTGTGTTACACCACGTCCAGCTAATTTTAGTATTTTCTGCAGAGATGGGGTCTCACATGTTGCCCAGGCTGATCTAGAGCTCCTGAGCTTAAGCAATCCACCCACCTCGGCCTCCCAAAGTGCTGGGATTACAGGTGTGAGCCACCACACCTGGCCAGTTGTGTACTTTTAAATGGTCAAATGGTGAGTTTCATGGAATATGAATTTTATCTCAATAAAAAACCTATTATTCATCTACAAACTAAAGTAGATGCTATATGGGGAAAGACAAAAATAGGAGGAGAAATAGCACTGTGTGGTTTATCCTCAGTTATGTGCAGATGTGCCTTTTGCATTAAAACAGTACTTCAGCGGTATTAAGATTCTGTTGGTTGCAAGTAGCAAATAGATGATTCAAACTGCTTCAAACAGTAAGGAAATGTATCATCTTATGGTGTAAGTCTAGAGAGAAATCAAGCCAGAACAATGATAATTTCATGGTTAGTGTCACCAGAAAATAAACTTTTTCATCTCTGATTCACTCTCCAAAACCTTTTCCTCACTGTGGTCATAAGACCACTGCCAGTGGCAACTAATAGATGCTTTCTGATTCATGTTCAGTAGGAGAGAGACAAACATATAACTTACTCTCCAGCTTTGACATATAACTCTTACCCTCAGTTCTGAATGAACCAAATTTGGTTACATACTCATACTCAGAACAAGGTTATTTAAATCCTGCCCTACAACTGGTTATAAAGTGGATACTTGAACACAGTAGGAGTAGCTGACTGGAGAGAGAGGAGACTAGGCACCCAATTACCCAATTCTTAACCTTGGGCACCCAGCCATTCCTCTTAGGGAAGAAACTCCCTTTGTTTAGGCCAATGCCTAGGCCAGCCGCGTGGAGATAGTGAATGGCAGATACCCTGAAAGCAGGGGTTTGTGGGAAACAAGTAAACAAGAAAAGAGTTCATTTGTTGTTCACATGAAATAAAAGGGAATTTGATGCGAGACAGGCAGAAAGCAGATCAGAGAAGACCAGAAGAGGGTGGGAAGAAGGCAGTGATTGAGAATTGAGGAGGCTGAAAGCTAACTTGGCTAAAATGACTAAAAGCCTTTTTGAAATATGCATACGTAACATTTAATTTTAAATGGTTAAAGTTCTGGATGTAAATCCCCATGCCAATGGTATACTCAGCACTCTGCTAATATTTTGTGGATGGACGTTGTTTATTTTCATGAAACTTGAGAAGAGTCTGCTTGCATATGTGGGTCAATAATAAGGATGATTTTTTTTGGTCCCTTCAGTCTTTGACTTGTGTTTGAGTCTTATGTGGGAGATAGGACACAAGCAAGAAAAATGGAAAAGACTGGTAGTGTGTTGGGAAGCTCTTTGTGCTTTATTTATATGGCAGAACTAAGAGCTCTCTGAGAAAAAATTCAACTCAAGGACAGGAGTCTTGCTAATCCAAATAACAGCTTCCATTTGTGAGGGCCACATGTAGGGGGTGTGTGTCTATTGGGGGTGGGGGTGCCATTGTGACTAAAACATTATCATAATTATCATTTACCAAGTACCTAATACTGTATTTAATTATCACAATTATGCATATATGTTCCTATATCTATGCAGATATATAAAATTGGACACACACACAAACACACACATATTTCTCCAAGGTTACCCAGTTAGGAAATAGATTTGAACCAATTCAGGTGTATGTGATTCCAAAGAGACACTTGCATTCTAACACCTGTATAATGATGAGGTCTGTCTCTTGGATTTGCACTTGCAGGTGAGAGTTAGAACTATCCAAATATATGTTACAGATAATAACATGAACCCATTTTAAACCCCAGCCAGTGTGGGCTCTAATATTTAATTAACTTTAAAAGCCCTTTCCCCAACCCATTGAAGAACAAGATCCTGTTTAAAAGTAATAATAACATCAACCACTTTGCTTACAAAATGCCACAGTAACAAAAAATGAATAAATAAGTCTTTCTGATGATATATTGGCTGCTCTAATACAGGACTGATTGTCATAACCTACTTTCCTAGGCATCCCAGCCCATCTTCTGCTATGAGCTTGGAAACTCCACTTTACTACGTCCTTGGAACAGCTCTGCCCTCTTACCTGGATGTTTCTCTCTTCTGTCTGACCATATGGCAGCTGTTTTGCTAGCCTGCTGCTGTCTGTCCTCTGCACATGGCCATTAAAGCAAGGCTTTTGCAAAGGGACAGCATAGAGGTTTTTTGTTTACTTTTACGCTTCTCTTCCCATCTAGTAAGAGTTTTGGCTATACTATCTACTGTATTATGTTATTGTATACATAGTTTTGATTATATTATATAAATATATATTATATTATCGATTATATAGGGATAATACTATAAAGGATGTTGACTCACGCACAAAGAGTTTTATAAATAAAGGAGGTTCTACTTGTACTTCAGATAAGTGTAACACCCATCTTTCTTCCTCCATTCTATAATTCTGCGAGGGAAAAAGTAACTTTGAGTTGAAGAAAGAGGAAGAAAAATGATGTATGTTTTTAAGTAGATACAGAGACCTGAGGCTTGCAATAAGTATACCATAGTTATTCATGATCTCTCTCATTCAGAAAACGTTAGTTAAGGCACCTGCTGTAATAATAATAATAAATTATGTATTGTCTCTACTATACTACAGACGCTTTGCATTTGCTACTTCTAATCCTCAGAACAACTCTATAAAGAATATATTATTTCTATTTTATAGATTAAGAAACCGAAGCTGAAATAATTTAATGTAAAGAAGCTGAGACCAGATTTGAACTGCAATCTGAATGACTCCAGGTATAACATTTTTTCTACGCTACCTAGTGCCTTTCTTTGCAGCAGGTACTATGTGAGATGAGTCACAAAGATGAACACTCCCTTGAAGCACATGTAAGCTGATGGGGAAGGTAGACCGTGGAAACCTCTGTTAGGGTTGAATGGTGTAAGTGCTGTGGAGGAAAGCCCAAAAAAAGAGCATATAGGAGAATCTGAGATTGGGGGCAGAGCTGGTGGAGATTAGTCAACAGGAAAACATCTCAGGCAAGACCAAGACAAGGTGCTTTTGGCAGAAGGGAAACAGAATTTGGTCAGTTTTCTTCCTTGTTAATTTAGTTTCTTTCTTCATAGCATGTCAGGAGGTCAGCTGTAAATGTACAGTGTGTGCCTTTCCTCCCTTCCCTCTCTGGAGGGATGACCTGACAAACTAGCAGAAGTGGTGAGTTGGAAATATTATACAAGATAAAGCTCTTTTCTA